AACAATAATGCATTGTTTGAAAAACATTTTAAAAAAATAGGAACAGGCATTTTCAAGGGCAAGGCATTTCCTTATCACCATCCATGTCATGGCAAGAATTTACACAATATAGAAGTTAATTATTACTTCTGGATTACCATCCTACTTTCATTATAGAGTTTTTAGTACTTTCTATTTAGTATCGATGTCACAACATATTTTAGTGCATTTGTTTGCTCTTCCTTGTCTTCTGCTAATCTCTGTGTCTTTCTCTTATCTATGTACTGCAATAGAATTTATGAAGATTTCATTTCACTTCCAGTTTATGAGGAATGACTATAAAAATAGAGACTTTTTCCAAAGAATGCTGAAAGGCTTTGTTGAGGTAATCAATGCAAAGATAAATATACATGTTCAGTTTTACATTAGTTTCAGTCGGTCTTGGAAGAGCAAATTGGGTACCAGAATTGATGCAGATCAATAATAAACTCCAAAATATTTCTAGTGCATTTTGAAGCATAAAGCTGTAATATATTATGTTAACAGCTACTCAGGAAAGGATTCAGATCTCATTCTCCATTACTAATAATCCTTTATAGTTCACTGATAGGCAGGCTCTAGGTTCAATTTTACTGCTAGCTCATGGTCTTTAATGGTCATTTTTCCATGTGTTATTCCCATTTTGAAAAACATATTAATGTACACATTTGTTCAATTTGATTTGTTTAGACTCAGAATGCCTCATACAGTTTTTCCTAATATTAATAATCCTGTATTTACCATATATAGTGTTAGAAGTAAAGTCTTCATCCTGGTTCATCCAAGCCGGGAATAAATAAGCAAACATGGTGACTGCTTTGGGAAGAAGGTTACAGTTTATTGCAGAAAGATGGTTCTTCAGGAAAGTGCAGAGGAGAGAAGGAGAGAGAGATTGAGCACATGGGCAGTAGGTTTTATACCCCCCCCCCTTAGCCTTTTGTTTGGAATAGTTTCCTGTTCCTGTGGATGAACCTTGAGGCTGCTTCTGTGTGTTTGTCTAGGCCTTGATATCTGTGGTTTAATGCTATTATCATATCCTGCTTCCCAGGTGATGGGGCTAATGACTCCTAGAGTTTGGGTGGGGTATGCAGATCTTCTCTTTTGTCTTCTTGATTGCTCTGGCTCCAACTTTCTGATGGTTTTACATCTGCATTTGTATGGGCCTAGCTCTTGCTTGGGGCAGAGAGATAGATTTGGGGCCAGGTTTGGTTTTAAAAAGTCCTTTTGAGGAAAAATATATTTTCCTTTTTAATATTTCCTTCTGGGGGGGCAACTTCCATCAATAGTCTATGTCTATTAATTGTGAATAGCTCTCAATCTAAATTATAAAAAATAGAAATACACCTCAGGCACTATAAATAAGTCTGAATAATTGAAAATTGCCCCCATATTTGATATTCTTCCTGAAGTCCCTTAAAACTTGACTATGTCAGCAGGCCTATGCAGTTTGCTATAGGCACCAAACTTGAAATCAGGAGATTGAGCTTTAGGTCCTGCCTAGAACTAGGCATGAAAGCAGGCTGAGTGACTTTTGTACTCTCAGTCTAAGCCTCACAGGGTTGTTGTTACTGTGTGGAAAATAGGAGGAAGAAGAAGAGTTAGTTATGTTCACTACCTCAAATTAGTTACAAAAACAGTAAAGGTGCGAAGTAAATAAAATGATGATTTCCTTGTTTTTTCATATGGTTCTATCTTTGATGAGTTTATAGAAAACATTGTAATCCTACTTCTTGTCTCTTCCAATGGCTCTCTGCTGTTAACTTCCTTTCTTAGATCTTTGTCCCTCTTGGCTTTGGCATCTCATATTGGCAAATTTCATTATGGTCTGACATCCAGTTTCTTTCTTCTGTTTCTCGCTCTCTGGTATTCTCTTTTCATATTCATTCTTAATAACTATTTTGATCTCATTCCACAGTTCCTTTGTTCCTCCTTCTATCAGTGAGATCCAGGACTTCAAAGTGATTCCTCAGGAATCTTCTTGAAAATGATGGATGTACATTAAGATCATACTGTGGAAACTGGTTGGCTTTATTTCTTCTGCTTTAATTTGACTTGGAACTTGCACACAAGTATTTGTGATATGTTCTATATTGATCTCCTGGCCACGTTTTCCTATTATAACTGAACTCTTCTATCTCCTTTACCAATAATAAGGTCAGTTTGGTTAGGGAGATATCCATTTATATATATGTTTTGATTGTCTGAAGATAGTGTTAACAATGAGTCATTCTCCTGCCTCATTTCTGTTTCCTAGACTGTACAGTCCAAATGTCATGGTTCCGACAGATGAATCTCTTCAAAAGAACCTCGAGGCATTGTTTTCCTTAAAGAATCTTTTATCTGAGAAACAAAGTATCAGCACTACATACAGTAGTTGAAGCCAAAAACTTAATTCCCCTCCCCTGGCACAAGGTAGCAAAGCACAATTCCCTCTTCCAATTAATGGTCATAAATCACATTCCCCAATTAACTTGAAACACTACAAGCACCACATCTTGCTTGTACTTTCTGTCAAATTTAGATTGAAGTTGATCATAAAACCTTCTCTACTTCTGCACCAGTAATTGGAGCATAATCTTATTACTTGATCATTGGTGGCATTATATCCAAATACTGTCTTTGTTGTATCTTTGCTTCATTTTTGCTGTGTGTGTATGTGTCCAGTTTCAGTCCATTTCAATTTACTAAGATATCAACATGGAGTCGATTTGTTTTATCTTTCATTGTGTAAGGGGTTCCCATGTACATGTTTCTTGAATTCACATAAGTGTGATGGGTGGCTATTTGATAAATAAATAAATAAATAAAATTCTATATTCCCATTGTAATTCTGTTTTGCAGCTTGAGATTTTCTTTTCCTGAAGGGCAAGTTCATCAAATAGATGTCTGAAGGGCTTTATTCTAGTTATAACACTACTAGAATACCATTAGTACTATGAAAGATCCTCAGCAATTCTTCAGTAGCACCTTGAGTGCTCCTAACTTGAGAAGCCAAACATCCTGCACTAAATCATTTTATTTTGTCCATCCATGTGATTTTCTAGGCAAAAACAGTAGTTTGCCATAGCCCATGCAGTAAAAATAATGCCTTTGCTTTTCTCACTAATGTAATAATCTGCCTCTAACATCTTCCTGTATCACAGATCCCAATATAGGTACCTGTTTGCTTTAGGTAGGCAGCTGAGGTGACCTTCATGCCTTTGGTGACCCTGCTAGAATATAATCTTGACATAAGTACCCAGCATTCTTTATTCATCCCTCTTAGGACACATACGCAGGGAGTATAATGGGACTGGAAAGGCGTTCGCTGTGCCTGTTCCCTATTCCTATCTTGCAACCTCTGACTTGCTATCAACTCATTATGTTGTAATTTCATATGTCCAGCGTATATTACATCATTAATTAAACCCTAAGTTGATGCCATCCCCTATATTCTAAGCCTCACCAACTGATGGAAAACATCTGCTAATTATAGCAGTGCTGTGATTAGCAAATGGTTTTGGTAAATAGACTTTTGGATTTAACTTCACCGTTTCTTCATGCTTCTTCATCAGTACACTGGAAGAGCCCTAAACTAGCAAGTAAATCTACTCCCAAAATCTGCTATTTCCTGGATCACTGGACAATTGATTGATGGGCTCAGATATTTGCAAGTTTGAAACATATATATTTTCCCACTATACCACCATGTTCTCAAGCTGTTGGGCAACTGAATGACTGAAGGATGCCTTGTTATAAGTTACAGGAGAGATGAAGGCAGTGCCATAAAGACATGGCAGAAAAAATGGAAGTTGTCAACAGTGTCCTGTGTTTTATGCAGTAGAGATAGACCTACAGTGAGGGAAAAAAATATTTGATCCCCTGCCGGTGTAGTGTGTTACCAATTGTTTTCTTAGTAACTATGGTCCCAGCTGCCTTCAGATCATTGACAAGATCCTCCCATATAGTTCTAGAGCTAGGCTGATTGATCATTGAAACTCCACGAAGTGAGCTCTTGCATGGAGCCTCAGACCGAGGGAGATTGACAGTTATTTTGTGTTTCTTCCATTTGCAAATAATCACACCAATTATTGTCATTTTCTCACCAAGCTGCTTGGTGATAGTCTTGTAGCCCATTCCAGCCTTGTGTAGGTCTACAATCTTGTCCCTGACATCCTTGGACAGCTCTTTGGTCTTGGCCATCCTGGAGAGTTTGGAATCCGATTGATTGCTTCTGTGGACAGGTGTCTTTTATACAGGTAATGAGCTGAGATTAGGAACACTCCCTTTAAGAGAGTGCTCCTAATCTCAGCTCATTACCTGTATAAAAGACACCTGGGAGCAGAAATCTTGCTATTGATAGGGAATCAAATACTTATTTCACTCATTAAAATGCAAATCAATTTATAACTTTTTTGAAATGCGTTTTTCTGGATTTTTTTGTTATTCTGTCTCTCACTGTTAACATACACTACTATTAAAATTATAGACTGATCTTTTGTCAGTGGCAAACATACAAAATCAGCAGGGGATCAAATATACTCCTTTCCACTTCTTGAAGGCAAATGTGACACATCACTGTTTCAGAATGCAGTAGTTTCCTCCTCCCCCTCTTCTCCTAATATTGAATTTCGCTGCTGCCATCGCAAGAGAGAGGAAAGGAACTAATGGGAGTAAATTGGAAGTGACAGCAGCAGGATTTGAAGAGCCCTTGACGGAATGCGGAGTAATATTCCGAAATGCTAAGTGAAGCGCGCCTCAGTCCCGGGAACCGGCCTGCTGTGCGTATACCCAAAGACTTATGGAGCCAACTCAAGAACGTTTCTTCCAGGCGGTCACAACTTGGCATCAGGCCAAATCGGCCCGCTTGTTTCGCGCGCTGTTTAGCTGCTTGCAGGATTCTTGGGCAGGGGTAGGCCGAGGTGGAAAAGAGGGGAGGGCTAGCAGGACAAGTCAATCTCTTCTCACTGGACTGGACACCGCCTGTGTCAGTCAAATAAGGTCCCGCCCCACCCCTCCTGGCTCTTCGCCCCTCCAGTTTGGCTCAAGCAGCCGATGTTAGTCGTAGCAGCGAGTTTTGCGGCTACCGGAGAGAGACTGGTTGGCTGCTGTCGCTTCGTAAGAATAAGGCAGCGCCTGGTAAAACTTGCCCCGTCCCTTCTGCCAGTCGGCTTTGCTGCTCCCTGAGGCCGCTGTCGCTGCCGACTGGGCGCTTTATTCGCTCGACTTAAACTCTTAAAGTTGGGTCTCGTCGGTGCTGTCCTCCCCTCGTGCTTATTTCCTTGCTCTGCTTCTTTCGAGTAGGAGATGGGCATCTTCTCCCTGCTTCTTCTGCTGCCTTTGGTATCCAGCTTGGATTTCCGCTACCACCACACCAACGAGCTGGAAGCTTTTCTGAAGGAGATGCAGAAGAATTATCCTGCCATCGCTCACTTGTACAGCATTGGCAAGTCAGTACAAGGTAAGGCTGGGTAGAGTGGATCTTAGGCTGTTTCTCTCCAGCCTGTCTCCGGCCTGTTTGCCCAGCATAGAATTTAGCATTTGCAAAAGAAAAGAAAACAAAAAAGACAGTATCACCCAGAGGTCTGGCCTAAGCACCATTGTCTGGAATACAGTGCCACTGAAACCATTGTGCAGCCACTCCAGATACATTAGGCTACACTTCCTACCACCTCTAGTTATTCCTGAAAGCCTAAGGATTATCATGGGAGAGTGCCCTCATCTAGCTGGAGGGTGTAAGAGTTTGAAAACGGCTGCAATATCTCCACTTCAGGGAAAGAAGACAGCTGTTACTTTTTAAACGTAGCATTTTATAAGGCACCCCACATGTCCTCCTCTGTCATAGGTAATCTTTCCAGCTTTTTTTCTTCATCCCCCTCTCCGATTAAAAAGGAAATAAGTGCACTAATGTATCTGGAGTGGCTGCATATTTATATTTATGTACTGCCAGAATCGTTTGATACTGAGATGGGCAGCATATAAATTTAATAAATAAGTTATTAAATAAATAAAATCTATTTGTAGCTTCCATCAAGTCTTAGTTCCTAATATGGATTTAGTTATGTTTCAGTTGTTTCCAATGAATATATTATTTATATATTAGTTTTTTGAATCTTTCATAAATAATACCCAATATTCTGAAATTCTCATCTCCCAATCAATCTGTTACCTTTACAATTAATTGCTCTAGGCTCATAGCTACCTGACTATAAATGAGTGATTTTGCTAGATTTATAAATAGGGAAGGAAGGTTAAGCTTCATCTACCTGAATACTGCAGGCTTTCCATTCTTCCAAATAATGCTCTTGTTTTTTCCAAAAACAGTTTTGAGAATTATATTATACTTTATTCCTTTCAGTAAATGTCAAACAGTGCTATAAAGGATGATAATAATAATGATGATGATGATGATGTTGGAAGGGACCTTAGAGGTCATCTAGTCCAACCCCCTGTTCAGGCAGAAAACCCTATACCATTTCAGACAAATGGCTGTCCAGGCTCTTCTTAAAAACTTCCAGTTTTGGAGCATTCACCGCCTCTGGAGGCAGGTTATTCCACTGGTTAATTGTTCTAACTGTCAAGAAGTTTCTCCTTAGTTCTAGGTTGCTTCTGTCCTTGATTAGTTTCCATTGGTTGCGTCTTGTCCTGCCTTCAGGTGCTTTGGAGAATAGCTTGACTCCCTCTTCTTTGTGGCAGCCCCCGAGATATTGGAACACTGCTATCATGTCCCCCCTCGTCCTTCTCTTCATTAACTAGACATACCCAATTCAGCAACCGTTCCTTATATGTTTTAGACTCCAGTCCTTTAATTATGATTACTCATCAGGATCCTTTCAAATAACTTACTGGATTTTAAGTAGAATGAACAGTGGATGTAAAAAATAAAGTAAGCCTAGCTTGTGACATACTTCATACTCTGCCTAATGATTTGCAAAAGACATCGGGTTGATAGATTTGGGAAATTCAGCCTGCTTAACTTCCTTTGTAAATACTGTTAAAAGCTCCAAATCATTTTAATAGGGGATTGAAATTATCTCTCAATAATATAGGTTTAAACAGAAATCTGAAGTGCTACTTCAGTTTTTTATCTCAGACTTGGTCCAGTGCAGAGATCGAGTAAACCAGTAAAAATGTTTTAAAAGGGAGTTGTTTGTTTCAGCTACTTTGGGAAAAATGGTTTGTTCAAATCTTCCAAATGTTTCCAAGTGTTCAAACAAGGATTTATTTTAATATTAGTTGCATAGTACAATTGATCTTTTAAACATTTGCAATCCTCTGTTGTCTCTCACTAAGCCTTATTGATCTGATTTCTTGTTTATCTTTTCTTTTTGAAGATTTCTTGTTCATATATTTTTTAAACTTAGTTCTCTTCAATAAAATTATTTAGTTATTATTAATGATTCTTTTAGGAATGAATAAAGATTTTATATTTTTTAATTTAAAATGTTTTGGTTTAAATAAAAGAAAAAGAAAACATTGGGCTTTAACTCATCTGAATTAAATACGTTTAAATCTCAGATTCAATGCCATGACAATGAATTAAAGATAAGACAATTTATCCTAGCTCTCCATTGTTTATTTGTGTTATTATTTTACAACTATGTGCATACATTCTGTATCTATGTGTATGTAAAATTCTTTTCCACTTAAAGGTAGAGACCTCTGGGTTCTTGCTCTGGGAAGGTCTCCAACCCAGCATAAGATTGGCATACCAGAGTTCAAGTATGTTGGTAATATGCATGGGAATGAGGTATGTCTATAACTTTAGTTGTTGTGGTTTCCTTACAGACTGTTTATAGGAAGCACCCAAATTATATACATGTGGGAAAATTTTAATCTTTTATCTAAGCAGCCCCCCCCAAAAAAAGACTGATGCTACGAGAGAGAGGTTTGCTAAATGCTACATGTTTTCCTTAATTGCATGAAGCACAAAGAGCTATATTTTGCTATTAATAATCAGTCAATTAGGCCCAAGAACATAAGAATATGTTAAGCACAGAATATAAGGTGAAAGGGAAGTATTCACTTATTTATTTGTTTGTATGTTTCTATTTTGATGTCACCCAACTATAAAACGACTCTGAGCAGCTCACAATATAAGAACTAAATACAAGTTAGTAAAAATACAATAAAGGAAAGTGGAAGTTAAAGTGGAATTAACAGAAAAGAAATCCAGACCACTTACATCAAAACATACGAATATCTCTAAGAGAGTCATATCTAAAGAATAAAATTCCTATCAATCCACTAGATGTCATAGTGGACTATTCAGTTGTTCCCAGTGCCATGCAGAAGTCTGTGGCATCATGATGTCCATAGCAGGTACCTACCTGCATGTTTTAGGACTATAGTTGCTGTGACAGAACATGGAGGTTGAAGTCAGCCAAGGAAATTATAACAAGGTGACATTCAGGATTTGCAGAGAGATGCTGGTAGTTGATACACTAGCAGCAACCAAAGGTCCTCATTGTGGCACAATTCCATTCAAAGAAACTAACCACCTCTGGAACAAGTACTTGGTCGCTGTGAGCATCTTTATGATGTCACAGCTAACGAATGCCCTGAAACATAGGTGGCCAACTTTTTCTTGGATTTCATCTCCATCATGCCTGATTTAATAAACCATAACAAGGCTATATGTTTATTCACATATCATAGATGGACATGGGCATGTTCTTCATAGACTTTGCATTTACCAAAACCACGAGGGATCAAAATGCCCAACAGTTAGGCCACCTGGACTGGGGAAAATGGCTTAGGTTATATTACTAAATAGTTATATTACTGATCTCCAATATTTGATTTGATTTATAATAACTATAAAGCAGTAACATTAATTAGCTCTGTATTGCATCACATATTGGTCCTATTGGCAAAATTTATAGAGTCCAAGCATTAGGGATGTGAGAACATGCCATTAAGTGGGTGTAGTGGTTAAGGTGCTAAATTAGAAACAAGGAGAACATTAGTTCTGCTCCTCTCTTAGGAATGGAAGTGATCGAGATAGTCATTCTTTCTTCTACCCCAATCCACCTTGGAGGGGTTATGTTGGGGAAATTGGAGGAAGGAGCATTATGTACACTGCCTTGAGTTGGACAAAATAAAGGCAAGATATAAATGTAATAAATAATCCAGTTGCTTAATATGTGTTTATATTAAAGCACGTTTATTCATAAAGGAGTGCTTGTATAAGAAATTCCCATTTTTAATACAATGAATAATGTAGTATCACAGTAACAAATAATTTGGTTATCTGAGCATAGACAAAAAAATGATAGATTTTTTCCCCCCTGCCTAATTCTAAAAAGATACTAGAGGAAGATAAGCAACTATTCAGTTCCTCTTTGCACTTAGAAATATGTATGACAATGGAACGAAAGATAACTATTAAAATTCATAAATAACAATAACAATTAAGTGTTTTAACTACGCAATAGATTTCTCTCAGTGATACAGGATTCCTGGGAATTTTCAATACAGGAAGTCTCTACAGTCCTTCAGGTACGCTGGAGTTAAATTGCCATTATTGCCATCCAATGTAGCAAATATGAAAAATGTCACCCACCAACATTGGTTTAAAGGAGGGAGGGTATTTTGGCTGGCTGGTTTAGGAAAAGGGTTTAAGTAAGAGTAAGTGGCAGAGTGATTAACTAGCTATTTAACAAAGTACTATTACTGTATTTGCTACTTCATTGAACCCTGAGGAAAAAAACAAAATATATAAATTGTAATTTTTAAAACAAGTCTCTTTGTTTTGCTTCTTAATACCATGGTGGAAAAGATTGGGAAGCCTTACACCCTGCTGACAAAGAAGCATCATTTACAGTACGGTAATAATCTGCCATGCAAGCACAATGCTTATAAATTGTTTACAGCCTGTTCCAAGGAAAATAATAAAAACAAATAATTTGGGAATTGTCTATCTGCTGTTAGATTATTTAAATTAATATTAGAATTATTTCAGAGGCTCTTGTTATTCTTTACAATTTTTGAATTTGTCAGGATATTTAGATAAACAATCTTATCACTAAAAAAAATATTATATTGATGTTGATCTAGTACAGCAGTTCTCAACCTGTGGGTCGTGACCCTTTTCGGGGTCGCACGAGCCTTTCACAGGGGTCGCCTAAGACCATCGGAAAACACATATTTCTGATGGTCTTAGGCAGGGCTTGTCAACCGCCTTCTCTCCCTCTCCCCCCCCTCTGCTCCACCTCACTTGTTTCTGGAAAATATGCTGCTTGGAGGCAGTCTGCACGAACTCTACCAAATGTGCCCTGCAGGGGGTGCATGAAGAGCGCAGGCACAGAGCAAGGCCCTGCCCTCCCCAGAGACTCATTGTGCAGCAACCGGATTGACTTCTTCTCGTGCACGCAGGTCAGCCAAGGGGAGGCCACGCAGCACCCAATTCTTGGCGCCTGTCAGCTGGCGACCCCCGAACTTGCGGTTGTCAGCCAGGAGTTCTGGCGACGGCTGCAGGTCTCCTTTGCCACCCCGCCGGTCCTTGTCTCCTCCTCTGCCCGTTCATGTTGAGCCCGCCGGGGCTTGACAGGGAGAGAGAGAGGGAAGGAGGAAGGGACTCCTCCTCTCCTAAGTTTTGATCGGCTTCCCAAGGGCGCCACAATCCTCATGAAAGCGGGGGGGGGAGAAGCAAAGGGGGCGAGAAAGCTCGCGGCAGGCTCGAAGCAGCACCTGTCAGCGTTGGTGACGAGAAATTCCCCACAAAGCCAGGGAAGGGGTGGAGAAAAGGAGCCCCCTTTGGGAGGAAACTGCCACCTTCTTCTCCTTGGCTTTGCACTCTTCTGTTTCTTGGCAGCCGGGCTGGCAAGCCTTTTCTGGCTGGAACTTCCTTTCCTTCCCTCCCTCTTGGTCTCTTCCTCCTTCCCTCCCTCTCCCATTGTCCCTTCCTTCCTTCCTTTCCTTCGCCTCCCTCTTTGTCCTTCCTTCCCTCCCTCTCCCCCTTGTCCCTTCCGTCCTTCCTTCCCTCTTGCCCAGGATCGGGGCGAGCCTCTACAGCTGATCCGTGCTTCTGCAGCTGTAGCTGCTCTCCTTGGCTCCTGCCCAGCAAACTTGCTCGAGCTTTGATAGAAAACAAGCAGCTTACTAATTTAGCAGAAGCACAAATCAGCTGTAGCCCAGCGCTGATCCTGGAGCTTCTGCTAGCTTAGCAAGCAGCACGTCTTTCAGCGAAGCTGAGCAAGTGAGCTGGGCGGAGCTCTCCTGTCTCTGCCTGTGCAAAGGCAGGTTTGCCGGCAGCAAAGCCCCCAGCCACGCTGGCAGCCTATCCCCCTCCCCTTGTCCCTTCCTGGGCATGGGGGGTGGGTGGGGAGGAAGGAAGGAACGAAGAGGGATGGAAGTAAGGAACAAAGAGAGGGAAGGAAGGAAAGAACAATGGAAGGGAGGAAGGGACAAAGAGGAAAGGAAGGAAGGAAGGAAGGAAGGAAGGAAGGAAGGAAGGAAGGAAGGAAGGAAGGAAGGAAGGAAGGGACAATGGGAGAGAGGGAGGGAAGGAAGAAGAGATTAAGGGAGGTGAAGGAAAGGAAGAAAAGAAGGAAGGAAGGGACAAGGGGAGGGAAGGAAGGCAGGCACCCACCCCACTCCCATCCCAGAGACCCACAGATTCCCCCCCACAGGCACTCTGCAACCTGAGTGATCAGCTGGCCATTGATCATGTGATCCTGGGACACTGTGAATGTCATAAGTATGAATCAGTTGTCAAGCATCCAAATGTAAATCACATGACCCTGGGGATGCTGCAACAATCATAAGTGTGAAAAATGATCATTAATTCGCTTTTCCAGTGCTGTTCTAACTTCTAACAGTCACTAAGCGAATTGTTATAAGTCGAGGCTACCTATACTTTCCCATTTTTTCCTCTTTTTTTGTCAAGTTTTTGATATCCCCCCGGCCAGCTGGATGGGGGGTTGGCGGTCACCACAACATGAGGAACTGTATTAAAGGGTCATGGCATTAGGAAGGTTGAGAACCACTGATCTAGTAGATCTCTGCATTTCTGTCCTCTGTTGAGGGTTCTGATCCAGCAGACTGTTGGTTGAATAGGAAGAGCAATCCTTATCAATTCCTCCCTATTTTTGTAGCCCCCATTCTTTTTCTGCACCCAAAATGGGCTCAAAAATTGCTGGGGAGATACAATTACAATGCTTAGACTGCTAAACGGTTAGACCAGGGGTAGGCAACCTCGGCTCTTTTATGACTCATGGACTTCAACATAGCATAGCTGACTCAGGAATTCTGGGAGTTGAAGTCCATGAGTCATAAAAGAGCCAAGGTTGCCTACCCCTGGGTTAGACAATCAGTAAAGAGAGTATGGCTTCCAGACTGAACAGAGCAATCTGAGTGGGTCCTTGAAGGAAGGTCCTTTTGGTCAGAATAGTGTTCTTTATTTAAGTCACAATCTATACAATATGGATCAAAATTAATTAGTGTTCTCAACATTTTTTCCCTTTTTGCTTTTTAAGTTATTAACTACTTTAATTCTTTTGTATTATTTTTAACTACTACAATTTATTGGATTTTTCTGCTTTTCTATTATCTTTCTTGGTCTCTCTATCCATACAGTACAAATAAACTTACTGTAATAAACTTTTAATTCTAAATGGCTTCATCGAGAAACTTATCCTTTTCTATTTGTTCAGGCATTTTAGTATTATTTTAAGTAGTTACCTCATGGTAAGATGGGCAGCCAATAAATTTTATAAATAAATAAATAAATCTTATAAATAATAAATTTTATAAATAAATAAATTTTGGCCTGATTTAATTGTTGATTTTTTGGGGGTTTTTTAATTGAATTTGTATTTGTTTTACTGCAATAAGTGGATGGGAACTTGCCTTTAAGAAGAATACATGATATTTACTTGCTGCTCCAAGCATCCCGCTGACACTAGTACCACCCATAGCGTCCCGCCAATGCTAGCGCCTTCCAATTTGCAGCACTCGCTCCCGCGGAACTCTGTTTGCGTGTGCATATGCACACAGCAATTTGTGTGTGCGCTCATGCGTGGCCCATTTGTGCGTGCACACATTGTGGTGCCTGCCTTCCCTTTTTGGGCCGCCAAACCAAAAAGGTTGGAGACCTCTGTTGTAATCCATAATTACAGGTAGTTCTTGACTTACAACAGTTCAGTTAGTGACTGACTGCTTGAAGTTATAATGGCACTGGAAAAAGTTATGACTATTTTTCACAGTTACGACTATTGCAGCATCCACGTGGTCACATGATCAAAATTTGGATGCTTGGCAACTGGTTCATATTTATGATGGTTGCAGTGCCCCAGGATCCCTTTCTGCAACCCTCTAACAAGGGTGGGGAAGCCAGATTCATTTAACAACCATATTACTAACTTAACAACTGCAGTGATTTAATTAACTGTGGCAAGAAAGTTCATAAAATCGGGCAAAATTCATTTAAGAACTGTCTTGCTTAACAACAGAAGTTTTGGGCTCAATTGTGGTCATAAGTCAAGGACTACTTATATAGTTTAGTATATGGCTAACTCAATTGAATTATCAAAATTATCACAATACATGAATCCACTGAATCTAAGATGTATGATTATATGAAGAATACCCTTGAATTAATAGGTATGACCATAAATTAAGTTGAATTTATATATATATATATATATCCATTAACTAGGTACATACATTATGGCATTTCTCTGTATGGTATTAGGGACTGTTTCATGTAAATAAGCTAGTCCATGTTTTTTTCTGACTCTTCAGGTTTCAGGGAGATTATTTGTAAATTGAAAATATTAGCCATCACATTATTTGCTTGTTTTATCTTACTTCTGTATCATGTGATTTTTTCCCCAACTAATATTGGTTTGCTACCTCTTATTATCAATTTAATTTGAGTACTTATTCTTCTGCTTCCCTACACAGGCTCTTGGGCGGGAACTGCTTCTCCATTTGATTAAATATTTGGTGGAAAGCGATCAACGTGATCCAGTCATTACAAAACTCATTAACCATACGCGGATACATATCATGCCTTCAATGAACCCTGATGGTTTTGAAGCATCAGTAATGTTTGAGTGTGCATCCACAATTGGCAGGTAAGAAAAAAGCAACCTAGAATATATGAGGAATGTCTTGAGTATGTTTCCAACATGCTACTTAACCCACAACACATTTTGCAGAACAATTTTGTAGGTTCAGTTTTTAGCTAACATATCATCAAATCAAGTTACACTTTCTTGAGCATGAGTAGGAAATTTTAGCTAACCTGACCTTTCCCACTTACCTTTACATGTAGCAAGGAAGATGTTATTAACTCAAAAGGAGGCTGGGAGCAAGGGAATGGTAGTTCGTGAATTTTTACAAAGAAGTTCTAGGATTTCATGTTATCCTGCCCTCAGTCAACAAGAATAAATATTCATTCCTCTTCTAATGCTTGGATCATCTTTAGATACTGCTTCAAAACCTATGTGTTCCTCTAAATTAACTCGTCTCTTATCAATACCTCTCATAATCATGTCCATCTTTCATTCCCAATTAGCGTAAATTTCTCTGCCTGTCTTTAACTTTCCTTTGATTAAAAAAAATCTCCCTTCTCTGTGTTCCTCTGAGACAACGGTTTCTATTACTCTTCCTCCTGGCTTACACCTTGTTTGATCTCCCTACAGGTTATCTCTTTGCTCCTTACATTTTACTTTTTTTATTATCTACTCATCTTTGCTCTGTTTCCTTGGAATTGTTCTTTCGTTATCTACCTGATAACAAACCATCCTGCCTAATTATACTTTTAGACCACCTTTCCTAGTGAAGCCAGTGCAGGTACTGTTACTATTTCCTATAATTCTGTCAGCATTAGCATAGCCTCTGTGATTCAATTCTTATGACTGAGCTCATATATTCGAAAGTATATTAAAGATTATATAATAACAATGTTATCTCTTCAAGGTACAATGCTAATAAAAAAGATCTGAACAGGAATTTTCCTGATCATTTTACCACCAATAATCAAATTATCCAGCCAGAGACTAAAGCAGTTATGAACTGGATAAATACTGGAATGTTTGTTCTTTCTGCTAATCTGCATGGTGGAGCACTGGTTGCAAGTTACCCCTTTGATAATGGCAATCGTGGTAAGCTAATGCTTGAATGACCATAAGGATACTACAATAAATAGCTCTCTATTCTTAATTAATGAACTTATTAATAGCAAATATAATAAATAAAAATAAGTTAATTTTGGATTATACACACACACACACATATTTAATACTTTAATTTACCTATTAACTCACCAGCACATTTATTTGTTAACTTATGCATGTTTTTTATAGATCACCCACTTCCATAGACTTAAGGTGGTATGCAAAAAAAAAAAAAAAGAAATAAAGAAATAAAAAGCATAAACATTCATTCAGCTTAACAAACTAACTTAGGCTCCATTAATCCAGTTCATGATTTATCTAATCCAGATCAATTCCAAGGCAGGGACAGTTAGAAAACTAACATTTTATATGCATGTACATACTCATTTGCATCTAAATTATTAGAAAAGTGTGAATATTGATATATTTTTTAAATGTCACAGTTAATGGGATTTGTCACATAAAATCCATCTTATAATAATAGCCAGTATTCTACAGGTAGCAAACCAAGCTAAATTTCCACTAAAATACAGAAGAGAGTTTTTTCTTCATTCTGAACTGATAGAGGGAGAATTTACTGCAGCAGCCAACGTGATAAATGTAAAAATGTGAATTGTGAAAGAAGTGACTGTAAGAACAAAGCTAGTAGAAAAAGAAGAGGGAGGATCTGCTGTGACATCCTCATTGTGGAAAACCCTTCCCACCATCACCAGAAATGCAAAAGAGCAGCATATAAATCTACAGAACTGGAAGTCTAACTTCCTGCTCAGTTATCCAAATTAAAGCTTCCCTAACAAATTGCTGTTAGCTATCATCTGAGTATGCATGATGAAAGACAGCTCACCATTTCCCTCAGTAATTGCTTCCAATTGCTTCCCTGATTGAACTACTCTTACCATGAGTAGTTTTTTCTAAAGTAAACTTAGGAAAACATTAAACTGGAATTTTCTTTCTTGTAACTTATGAATGTTAATTCATGGCTTGCACTTTGGAATTAGAAAAATACATCTTAATATTCTCTGCACCGCTTAATTATTTTCCTTTTTTCACAGTCATATATATCCAGTCCCCTCAATCTTTTCTCATAAAACTTTGTTTCCAGTTCCTGGAGTATCCCCATTGTGTTGTTGTTTTTTTGGGGGGGGGGGAAATCTCATTCAATTTCTCTGATTTTTTTTAAATGTAGTGGTCAGAACTAGAAACAACACTTAAAGTAGGCTCTGATCAATGAAAAATACAGTATTTTTAAATTTATCATCACTCAGAAACTGTTCTTCTGCAGATGCAGCTTAAAATTGTATCAATCTGATATACGGAAAAAGTAAGTGACCCTTAACTGCATGATTAGGCTGGATGCACAGGAATATGCACTTGAGTCAAATAATGGAGATTTCCTATATCATGGCCCTGAAAGGTAACAAGAGAAGTTTTAACTAGTAAAACTCTTAAAGATCCAGTCGGTGGAGAGATCGGTGGAAAAAAGTATAGTAAATTAAAAAAAAAGTCCAGGACAATAGATTGTATTATTCTAGATTCAGATAAAGAATGGAGAACAAAGTTAGGAAAGCATGCCAACAAACCAGAAGGACACTACCAAGGAATGAACTGTGTGGCCATTTCAACAGTAAGAAATGGATAGATTCTCTGGAAATTCAGGAGATAAACATTGCAGGTTCTTGTGGCTTTATCAATCAAAGGTTTTAGATAAAATTTCTCCTTCATAAGAACTCCCAAATCTTGCACCAGTGGTATAGTATTTCCCCAAATATAAACCCGGTCTTATATTTTTTTTTGCACCAAAAAAATGTATTAGGACTTATTTTTAGGGAATATCTTATTTTTTGGGGGGTGGAGCTGCTCTATGTATCCCGCACCTGCTTACTTCAGGGCCCCCGCACCTAGGCCACTCCCTGTTCAGTGATCCTCCCACCAGATCAATGACCCGGCTGCCTACCCGCCTCTTCCCTTTCACTCCCCTCCCAAGCTAGGCAGCCATACTAAGTATAGAGAATGGGCCTTACCCGGTCCCCCTCCACTGTTTCGGAGCTGGGGAGAGTGACGACGAAAGGCTCTGTTGCCACTACATAACAGCCACATCTGCTGCTGGAGGGGCTTTCTTTGGTCCCCATGCCCCTGCTTCACCCCGCAGATCACCTGCCTGGCGGCAGCTGCTGCCTGCTCCTCCTCTGCCAACTCTCCCATGGCTTGTGCTGTGACCGGGGTGTGTGTGCAAACTCCCCTGCCTCCTCCCTCCGCCAGCCCTCGGTCACCACCACCACACTTTCTTGAACACTTTCTTACTGCCCTGCATCCGCCCGCTTCTTCCTTCTCAGTTCTGGGAATGGCAGCCCCATTTTCTGCCATTTTCCTCCTGGCAGAAGAGAGGAAAGGAAGGACGCTTCGTATGGAAGGATGCTAAGCTCCGAGAAAACTTCCAGCTGGAGCTGGGCAAGGAAGGCCAAGGCCCCTATGGGAAGCAGATCTGCTCCTCAAGGGCTTTGCAGAACCATCAGGGAAGGGGAGCCTGGTCTTCCTCACCCTGCTCCAGGTGATCTGCAGGGCAAAGCGGGGGCGGCGGTGACCGAAGAAAGCCCCTCCAGCAGCAGACGTGGCTATTGTGCAGTGGTGTCAGAGTCTTTCGCCATCACTCCCCCGGCTTCGAAATAGTGGAAGTGGACCGGGTAAGGCTCATCCTCCATAGCATGGCAGTCTGGCTTGGGAGGGGAGTGAAAGGGAAAAGGGGGGAGGGAAGCTGGGTCATTGAACTGGCAGGGGAGGTCACCAATCCAGGAATAGCCTGGGTGCAGGGGCCCGGAAGTAAGCAGGTGCGGGACATGTGAGGCAGCTCACCCCCACACTAGCTTGATTTTTATGTGTGCGCCTCACCCCACCTCTTGCAACCAGAGGGCAGGGTCTTAACTAGGGCTTATTTTGGGGATAGGGCTTATATTAAGTGCACAGGTAAAAATCAGGCTAGGGCTTATTTTGGGAATGGGCCCTTTTTTTCGGGGAAACACGGTAATACTACAACTGACAGTCCTGAAAAGCAAAAGAAATGGGAGAAGGATGATCAGAATAAGAGACAATAAGCTCAGTCTTCTCCATATCTAGTTTAAGATAGTGAGAAACATCTCAACTGCATATTTAAATGGGAAGGCAACAGAAAAGGGATGATCATGCCATATCATTCATAATCAGAATAGAGAATGACATCATGTCATCAGCATAAATACTATGGTAGTTTAACCAAAAGAAGAAATGAGAGCACCCAAAGACAAAATGTACAAGATGAACAGATGATTGAAAATTGAACTCAATGGTTGAGAGCAAAATATTTGTTGTTCTATTTTTGGGGTGTGATTGCATGGACTTTGAGATTCAGGGATCCATTAGCATAATCTCATTTTTCATACCTCTGTATTTACCTCTGTGTAAAAATTTCAAATTTAGAGAGGCATCAACTGTTTTCAAGACGCTGTTTCTCTCTAAGTACAATCATCTTTTTGTCCTTGTAGGAAAAAATGGAAAATTCTATGGCCTGTGGAAGATTTGGAAAGGATTTCTAACTATTTATATTTGTATATTTGTATTTGTATATTTATTCGTTAAATTGACTAAATATTAATACAAATTTCACTGCAACCACCTTCTTTCTACAGTTACAATTGATGCAAATGGTGTTAGCAAAACAGTGGATGATGATGTTTTTGTTCATCTTGCAAACACATATGCTAACAATCATCGCACAATGAATAAAGGGATTGTGTGTGATGATATGACTTACTTTAAAGATGGCATTACGAATGGATATTACTGGTATATAGTGAAAGGTACAATTTTCCATTGTTTCCTTGTGCCTTTTCTGTTTCTTTGATAGTAAAATACTTATAGACTTTAAGATCTTTGTCATCCATAAAGAGTTTGAAGAAGATTAATATGGAATCCAATATGGATTAATTTTATGCTAAAAACAAAGATAGGTTTTCACATACTTTTGGGGCCAAAGATGAAAATAAGGGAGAGTGGAGAACTATTTATGCCATATGAAGGGGTAAAAGAATTTACATTCCAAACTATAGCAAGCAGTATTTCTACATAAGGAATGTTTGTGCTCTGAAAAAAATCATGAAAATATGGAAGATAGAATGGTACAGGATGTGTTTGTATAGATGCTTCAAGCATCTTAAATTGTTTGGATTTTTCCAATGTACATTTGGTTGAATAAATAAACAGGCTAAAACACCTATTCAGACTAACATTTAAATTGCATTCAACATTATTTGTGTTTTTTTAGCATTATACTTAACAGTGAGTTCATTTTATATGCCTGATCTTATGTGATATGTTATGCCAGTGATGGCAAACCTTTTAGAGACCAAGTGCCCAAAAATTGGCCCTGCCTCTGCTCCGCTCCCAGCCCGCCCCCCACCCTGCCTGCCTGCAGGGCCACTCACCACCTCCAGGGCCTGCCACAGATCGCCCAGGCAGCCCAACAGCACTATGGCAGCCACGCCCTCTGCCAGCGCCCCGCAGCATCAACTGTGTGCGATGGGGTGTGAGGGCAGAGTCTTGTCTACACTGCCTGGTTGCCATGGGCCATGCTCGGGGGCAACTCTCCTCCAGGGGGGCTGCTGGTGAGGAGGGAGTCATGGGGGGAGGTGAGGCTGGGGCAATGGCACGTGTGCCCACAGAGAGGGCTCCTAGTGCCGCCTCTGGCACAGATGCCATAGGTTCGCCACCACTGTATTATGCCAACAAAAAGAGGTATGAGAAGAAGGCCAAAGGAGCAATAATGCACTGCTCCCATTGCTAATCACCCTATGATACCACAACGATTACTATTAATAAGAGTATAGCTTTTTGTAATTCCCTAGCATGCCCAAAACCTTGAGTCACAGACGTGTCTTAATAGCAATAGTCCATCCTCAGGTGCGACATATTCTTTCTTTGTAGCCCTTGAAGTTCTTCTGTCTGAAGTTCTCTTCTTCTCCTCTCCTGACTACCACAATTCTTCATTTTCCACATTCCTCAAATTAACTTTGGATTTGCTACATAAAAACAAAGTCATTTTAATTCTTACCTTTGTTTAAATAGAATTGTAGACCTCAAATCCTATTTTAAAATGTAGACATTTTTTAAATGTATGTTGCTATTGTCTGCATCAACTTTATTTGCTTCCACATGTAAATGTAGATATATTTGTAGATGTTATCTATTGTATGCAATCAGAATAATTATAGTATGTTATGGTTGATTGCCATTAACTAGAAAAAAAGTGCTGTTCACACCTAATTACATGAGCAATTAAGTGGAAGCAGTCATTAGACAATACCGGTAGTAGTGATAAAATAATTAGCATTATCATTAATTATTTGGAGTTGCAAAACCTGATGGTGACATCTGCAGAGAAGTTCAGTGTTGGGGTTGTCCAGCCTCATTCATGATGCAGAAGTGCTTACTTGCAGATCAAGAGCACATATTGATGGATGAGAAGCAATATGGAAGTAATCAGGAGAATAATATGCTTGTTTATTTTTTGACTGACATTTCAGTGATGTAATTGAACATTTTACTTTAGGTAGCATGCAGGATTATAATTATGTTTGGGGACAATGCTTTGACATTACATTGGAGTTATCATGTTGTCACTATCCCTTAGAAGACAAGATTCAAGATTTCTGGGATAACAATAAAATTGCTTTGATTGAATACATTAAACAAATTCATCTAGGTAAGTCAGTTCTGCTGTATTTAGTTTATTGGAATCTGATATCCTGTAAATCTTGTGGAATAAATTACTTAAAGGACAATTTATATTTGTTGGGTTGTTTCTACAAGAATTGCCACTGATAATATTGTTAAGCAAGTCCAGTTTCCCCAATTAACATTGCTTGTCAGAAACTGGCTGGGAAGATTGAAACTAGTTGTAAAATGTGAGCCAGTTGCCAAACTCCTGAATTGTGATCATGTAACCACTGGAGTTCTGGGACCATTGTAACTTCAAGGACAGTGGAAATCACTTTTTCCAAAGCTGTCATAACTTGGAACCATTGTTAAGTGAGCACTTGTAAATTGATGACCACCAGTATTGACAAACCATCCTGGCAAAATAATATCCATATAATCACAAAGAGTCAGAAGTGGCTGAATGACTGAATAATAAATGTACATTTACAACTACAAATTATAGTTCACATATGAACATGAAGTATGTTTCTTTTTTCAAAAAGTCCATTGATATTGTCTACTTGTTGTTTATTCATTCTACATGTTCACTTCAATTTAATGTATATGTGCTAAATATTATCATTATTATTTGTTAAATTTATTTGCTGCTTGTCTCGCTGTGGGTCTACTCTAGGTGGTTTGCAAAAATAAAGGAGAAATGAAAAGAGTGTAAATAGAACAGCAGTAAGATAATAGAGCAATAAAATAAACAGTGAAAAAAAATATGGACAGGTGGAGACCAGAAAACAGAAAAGGGGACAGTCTGCCAATCGAGCAACCACTCCACTGTGGAATTCTCCCATTTGGTACCAAGGCCAACCGGCAAAGCTAGTTCTTCAGGAGGCTCTTCTTCTGGATCCTGACAGATAGTTCTTTGACCAATGGGATCCGAAGTAGGCCCTGTTTGCCAGGATAAGTAGGAGGGGCTTGTCTAGCGGGATGAGGTGTTCATCAGGTGGCCTGGGCCTATGCCATTAAGGGCTTTAAAGGTCATAACAACACCTTGAACTGTACTTGGAAGCAGACCAGTAGCCAGTGAAGTTTATGGAGCAGAGAGGTAATATAGGCCATCGTAAGGGCCCTCAAGACTGCTCTCACTACTGCACTTTGCACCAGTTGGGTTCCAAATGGAGTTCAAGGGTAGCCCCATGTAGAATGCATAGTAGTCCAGATGAGTACAGGGAATCATGATCTAGGAAAGGTCACAGTTTGTGCACAAACTGGAATTATGCAAAAGCTCCCCTAGTCATGCCCACCACCTGCTCTTTGAGAAGACATGAGTCTAGGAGAATCCCTAGATTGGAAACTGGATCAGAACAGAGATGTGCAATTGCAACCAGAATTAAGGTTGACAAACACTGAGATCTTGAGGGTTGATGCATCCAAAGCCATTTGATCTCGTCAAGGTTAAGTCAAAATCTATTGTCCCCCATCCAAATCCCTGCAACCTCCAGACATCATCAGGGCAGAGATAGCATCACTCAGGTCACCTGTGTACTCCTTTATCCATTCATGTTTTTTCCAGAGTGGGTTACCATCATCATAATGAAAACATGTATAGTACAATTTCAAACTACCTAACAATAAAACATGTAGTTCCCTAAAATAAAATCATGTATTAAATCATAAAATGACTTACAGAAGAGCAATAAACATAAATGGCAATATCTAGTATATTAATCAAAGGCCCTCTGAAACAATCCTGTTTGTAATAATTTTCCTGAAGCCTAACAAGGAGCTATCAGATTTCAGCACTATCACAGAGAAATAATATCTGTATTAACTCCGTCTACTTTGGAGCATATATTTGTGTATTATGCACTGATGATTTAGGCTTGTTCTGTTGTACAGCTATAGCCAAGAAATTCCAACTTGCCTTTTAGTCATAGTTGTGCCTGCAAAGAATCATCACTGAATTGTGATTATCCATAGCAAAGGAAATTCTCAGTTACAGGATGAAAAAAATAAAGAAAACCACCCTTCTTTCCTCCTTACAGGTGTAAAAGGTCGTGTTCTGAATCCAAATAACAAACCAATTGCAAATGTGATAGTGGAAGTTCAAGGAAGGAGGCACATATGTCCTTACAAAACCAATAAAAATGGAGAATATTACCTTCTCCTCTTGCCTGGAGTCTACACTCTCAATGTAAGTACAATACATTTATCCAGCTCTTATCCAAAATACTTTTGTATTTTGTATATTCTGTCCCAGGCCCTTGAATTGTATTAATCTGTGGGGTTTGAAGTAACTTGTGTTTCAGACTTTAGGATATGAAATGAGCATTCTGCACATAGAGCAAAGATTCATTGATATGGAACTTCTAGTTAAACACTCTGAAAATAAAAATAGTAAACATTGCCATACTGACAAGATTTAAATTTGTTTTTCAGGCAACCCTCCCTGGATTTATGTCATTACAACAGGAAGTAGTTTTACCAAATGGTGCAGAAAAACTCAGTGCCTATGAATTTGATTTTATTTTCTCAATGGGATCTACCTCAGAAAAGTCTGTTCCATGCCCATTGAAACCACTTTACTCAAACAGTATTAGATTTACTATTCCAGTGCTTAGTATTAACTTTTTAATTTTTGTATATATAGTCATATAAAAATTTGTATTTTTATATTTGCTTTTTAACAGTTGTATGTACTCAACTATAGAAGATTTTAAAGCATTGAGATATTCTGAATAATAAAACTTTTGAATTAACAACTGCATTTTGTTTCGACCTTTGAGAGTAGGGAAATGTGCACTCAGGTCACAGTGGTATAATTATTTATTGTTAATTTAATGAAACATCTTCACTTAAAATAGAATTTCTAACACAACTGGCTTTTAGGGATAAAAGTGAGAAGTCAGAAGAGATCAATGGCATGTTTTACGTGGTCAGTCTTCTCATTAAGACAAATGCAACCATTTGCTTGAAGATTTTTCCACTGTTCAGGGCATCTGTACTCACATGGAACCTACTCTGAGCAACCTGAGCCAATGGAATTATTTTATTAGTACCTATTAAGCATCTATGACAAATGCTCATGGATATGGTGCTGTATAAAAAAAGAGCGTTGTCTTACCTGAACGCTTTTTCTCAGCAGGATGGTGTAGAATCCACTGATTGGGTAATTTAATCCCTCCTGCTCAGACTAAGACAAAAAAACTTTGCCATGCCTCCTTCTGGGTGTGACTTTCCCCAGTTTTGTCGAGGCAAAGCATCCAGACGCAAGGCTCCAAACAAAAAATAAAAGACACATGCCTAGACTAACGCTAACAGGGTGGGTGTGGATTCTACACCATCTTGCTGAGAAAAAGCGTTCAGGTAAGACAACGCTCTTTTCTCCAACAGGATGGATGTAGAATCCACTGATTGGGACATACCAAAGCCGCTTATGTCCCTATAGGGAGGGAAGTCTAGGCTTGTGTCCCCTGAGAACTAACTACTTGCTCTAGGACTCGCCTACCAAAGGCAGCCTCCGCTGCTGCAAATTGATCTATCCTATAATGTTTTATGAATGAAGAGGGAGAGGACCATGTCGCTACCCTACAAATCTCCTCGAGTGAAGCCTGGGTAGACCAGGCTGCTGAGGCTGCAGCACTGCGTGTAGAGTGAGCAGTGATGTTTGAAGGGACTGAGAAATGTAAGCCCTGGAAATACAAGCCCTAATCCACCGACCAATAGTGGAGGAAGAGACTTTCCTACCCATTGCAGAGGGCTGAAAAGACACAAATAATGCCTCTGACTTCCTGAAGACCGAGGTTAGTTTAATGGAATGGCGCAGGGCCCTGCGCACGTCCAACATATGCCACCGTCTTTCCAGATGATGGGAAGGGTTAGGACAGAAATTAGAAAGGACTAGATCCTGGGAACGATGGAAACCCGTATTGACCTTTGGAATAAATGCAGGATCCAACCTGAGGACCACTCTGTCCTCATGGAATGTGCATAGGTCTTCCCTGACTGACAAATCAGACAAATCAGACAATTCTGAAATTCTCCTGGCCGACATGATGGCCACTAGGAAGGCCACCTTCAATGTAAGGAAGTGAAGGGAGCAATTGCTCAGAGGTTCAAATGGAGGAGAAGTTAAGGCCTGCAACACCTTGGACAAGTCCCAGGATAGATAACAATGAACTGTAGGTGGCCCTATGTTGGCCGCGCCCTTGAGAAAAGCACCAACTGCTGGATGTTGAGACAGGGAAACTTGGTTGTCACAGGTGAGAACCATTGACAAAGCTGCTATCTGCCTACGTATGGTGCTGGTTGACAGACCTCTATTTAACCTTTCAAGTAAATAATCCAATATGTCTGGGATGGTAACAGTAAGCGGCGAGAGCCGCTTCTTGTTACACCAAGAACAGAAGTTTCTCCAAGTGGCGTCATAGATCCTGTTGGTCGAGGGACGCCGCGAGGCCTGGATCACAGAGATAACCCTGGAGGAGAAAGACTGTCTGGTTAGACTCTCCCACTCAAGTGCCAAGCGGCCATGGTGGCGAGAGCGATAGGTCCACCAGGTCGGCAAACCACGGGCGTCTTGGCCAATATGGAGCAATTAAGATTAGCTCTGCCTGTTCTTGGATAAGCTTGCGAATAGTCACTTGTAGTAACGGAAGAGGAGGGAAGGCATAAAGTACGCCCTCCGGCCATCTGCTCCGGAGGGCGTCCGTTCCCTCTGCCCCCCTTGTCGGGAACCTGGAAAAGAACCTGGGGAGCTGCGTATTGTTCAGGGAGGCGAAGAGATCTAAGATGGGATGCCTGAACCTGTGAGATATTTCCCTGAACAGGTCTGGGTCCAGTTTCCACTCTGAGTGATCCACTGTGGCCCTGCTCAGGGAGTCTGCCTGCTGATTTGCCTCCCCTGAGATGTGTTCCGCTCTGATGGAGCTCAGAATGGACTCTGCCCAAAGCCCTATGGCCAGGGCTTCTTGCATGAGTGGCCAAGAGTGGGTCCCCCCCGTTTGTTTACGTGAGCCTTGGCTGCAATGTTGTTTGTCAGGATCAACACGTGTTTCCCTGACACAAGGGGGGAGAATCTTTGGAGGGCTCTGAGCTCCAGCCAATTTATGTTGTGAGTCAGGTCTGACCTGGACCACTGATCCTGGGCTAAGTGGCTCTGAAGATGTGCCCCCCAACCGAACAGACTGGCATCTGTGGTCAGGGTGATCCTGGGCGGTTCCTTGAAAGTGGTGCCTTTGTTCAAGGTGGATAGAAAGGAGGACAGGGTGTGATGGGGGACCCTGACTTTCCTGTTGGAGGCACTGATGTTGCGTCTCTGAAAGGGAAGGAGGAACCATTGGAGGTTCCTGGAGTGGAGCCTGGACCACGAAACAATGCCCATGCAAGAGACCATCTTCCCCAGGAGTTGGGATAGCTGTACCAGTGGTACCCTCTTTTCTCTTCGGATCTGCTGGGCCAGTTTTCGAATGCTGACCTGGCGCTCCTGGGAGAGATATACTTTGCATAGGCTCGAATCTATCAGTGCTCCCAGGTGGAGCAGACATCTTGTGGGTGTAGTGTGACTCTTTTTGAGGTTCACGGAGAACCCGTGATCCTGAAGTGTTTGGATTGTGATTGCCAGGTCCGACTGGCCTGATCTGAAGGATTTGGACTGTATCAGTATGTCATCCAGGTAGCACTGAACGCGCACGGGCCTCATCCTTAGATGAGCTGCCAGCACAGCCAAGATCTTTGTGAAGACCCTCGGGGCAGAGGACAGACCGAAGGGGAGGGCCTGATACTGGTAGTGCCTGTGCGCGTAATAGAACTGCAGGAATCTGCGGTGTTCCTGGAGGATCGGAATGTGTAGGTAAGCCTCTGTCAGGTCGATGGAGGAAAGGAAATCTCCCTTCCTGATGCTTGCCAAGATGGACTTTAGCGGCTGCATCTTGAACCTCCTGTAAGTTAGGAAGTAATTCAAATCCTTTAGGTCCAATATGGCCCTCCAACCACCTGAGGCTTTGGGAACTACGAATAGGATGGAGTAGAACCCCTCTCTGATCTGGTCCTGAGGGACCCTTTCTATGGCTCTGATCTCTAATAAGTGTGCGATGGCTGTCGTGACTACTTGTGTTTTTGATGTATTGTTTGAAACCGGGCATTGTATGAAACGATCTGGGGGAGAAGATTGAAACTCTAGGGAAAGACCCTTTCTTATGGTCTCTCTGACCCAAGCATCTGTGGCTGTGCCCTCCCAGATGTCGTAAAACAGTACCAGTCGACCCCCGATGGGGTAGACCTCCTTGGCGTCACTTGGACCACCTGTAGGGACGACTGCCCGAGCCCCTGAAGGGGCACTTGGTCTGGGACTGACCCCTGGCTCCACTAATCTGGCAGTCCTGTTGCTGATCCTGTCGGAAGAATAGGATTGTGAGCCTTTGGGCCAATCCCAGGACTGCCATGCCCGAAAGAGCTGCCTCCACTCCCAGGAACCACTGGGATGGAATGATGGCCTACAATAATCCTGTTGAGGCCGTCTATTTGATTTTTTTAGAGAGATGGGCCATCACCTTGCACTTGTCCTTGCCCTCAATGATATGAGGCTCTAGGACCGGGCCGAAAAGGTGGGTGCCACTGTATTTGGATGTTGCTAGGCACCACTTTGCCTTTAAATCAGTGCACCATTGCTTCAACCAGAGCAGCCTACGGGACGCCACTGAGGCAGCAATAGATCTGGCCGAACATCTGGCCGAGTGCAAGGATGCATCCGCAATATATTCAGATGCTACCACGACTTTCCCTATTGATTGGTGCGCTCTGACCTGATCCAGTGGAATGAGCGCCTGGAGTTCCTGCAACCATATTATCGCCGAACGTGCAAAGAAGGAGGATGAGGTTGCCGCCCTTATGGCCCAAGCCGAAGATTGGTGAGCTCTACGAAAGGAGAACTCGAACTTTTTGTCCTCCGCCTTCAAGAATTCAGCCATGTCCCCAGGAATGGCGGTATTGGAGAACAGAGATGTCAGTGGAGCGTCCACAGTCGGAACTTCTAGAAGAGAAGCAAAGGAAGAAGAGACATTGTAAAATTTCTTGTCCAAACTGCTGGGGGAAGGAGTGGTAGCTAGGGATGCCCACTGCTTTTCCACCGTAGTTCTGAAGACTAATGGACATGGGATCTGTGGGTCCTCCTTGACCTTTTCCACAAACAGGGGGTTGGCCTCCTGGTTGGTTGAGGAAGATGGTGTCTCCTCCTGGGCCGAGGTAAGTTTTACTGTGGCGATGGCCTTTAGGAGGAGAGACCGAAAAATGGACGGATCAAAGAGACCCAAAGAGGTCACCTGATCAGGTGTTGGGTCCTCATCCTCAGATAAGGGAGTGTCTGCTACCCCATTCCATTGATCCCTCCTCCCCTAATTGCGAGGAGGTCTCTGAAACATCAGAACTGGGTCTAGAGTCATGTTCCACCTGAGGTGGGGGAATAGATGTGTGAGGGAAAGGATGTGACTGCACCTGGCTACTCCTAGTGGATGACATAAACGGCTTGAATGCGTGGTGCATGAAGGCCTGAAATTGACTCTGGGACCACATTTCCCCTTGGTCCCTAGAGCTGGACCCAATCTCCATTGAGGCACGCCTGCTCTCAGGTGTTTGATGTGACAATGAAGGAGAGGAGCAAGGAGGACCAACCTGCTCAGTTTCCCCCTGAGGAGACCAAGGCCTTGGGGCATCCTGTGAGGATTCAAATTGAGGTTCTGACAAAGGAGTGTCCAGTGGGGCG